ATGAAGGGCAACGAACCATGAGAAGAGGGTGATGGTTCCAGTCAACCACAGCAGATCCGGAAACTCACAATGCAAACCAAGTCTGGTCCGCCTGCTCTGCAGGATGAGGATGTACTGTAGATGTTTGATGACGTTGTTTTGGTGGGCAATCAGAGCCATGGGATGTCAGAAGCGTCGTATTCAGGAGGTTTTTGTTTGGCTTTCTAGTCAAGGTGTTGTAAGTAATTGGACGAACAAGAGCTTGCATGCCGGAGTTGTTGCAGGAGCACTGGTACATGACTGAAACAGCTGGTTCAACTTCTTGGCATGTGTCATTGTATCATTTGGTTGAATTGTAGGCACATGGTTATGTATAGGTGGTTTTGCTGTTCTTTCTGCTGTGTGAATGATGCAAATTAGGGTGCTGCCCTCGTTATGTCTGGACTTGTCAACAACTCTCCAGGACAAAGAGGCTCCGTCTGCAAAGACTTTTGGCTCCTCAAAGGGGGACATCCAGCAACAGCAGGACTCGAATCAGGAAACTTGATGTTGGAATAGCAATGTCAATCGAGGTTTCCTGGATGCCACTAGATGTCTCTAATCGACATCTCATATGTACCATGGCCCTGGTGCAGGACATTGCACATCAACTTGATGAAAGCTGTGGTGGGGGCACTCTCCACTTGAATCGGGGGCTTTACCATGTTCCAAAGGCAGGATGACTTGGGACAGCTGAGCCCCAGTTGCGACTGTCTTGGATGTCAACTACCATGATTTTCATGCTTTTTAATGATGCTTTGAGCATGTCGACTCGTATTCTTTGCATGCCTCTCTTGCTTGGATGCTTGGTTTAGGTCCAGCGGCTTCATCGAGTGCGTAAGAGTGTGAGAATGTGATCATCATCCAACCTCAGAGAAAGCACGGATGAAGCTGAAAGGGAGAGAACGTGCTCGGTGGAGAACACCCAGTGTGGTGGTGGGTGGTGGGTGGTGGTTTCCGGCGGAGCTTGATCTCAGCCAGCTGCAGGCAGGCGTTGAACTCGGAGAGAGCTGCGCCCTGATTGCTGCGGCTGGGACAAGGAGCCATGTGGTTCGCGGGCCGGGGACCATGCTTTGCTAGAAGTCAAAGCAGCAAGTGTTCTTGTCAACAAGGCAACCACCGCCTCCTCCTTGACCCGTCCTACTGCTCATCTCATTCAACTTACCTCACTTCACCTACGACCTACGCTCGTCTCCTCCCATTCCTCCCATCTTCATTTCCGCAACTCGCATGACAATGCCCAGCGCTTCTGTTCTCATCCCGATCAACAGCTCTCTGTGGAGGATCCAGCTGGATGGTCCCATCATGGCCCACAACCTCACCCTGCATGGCGATTTGCTGCCACCGGGCGGAAAGAGGACGAATGGGAGCATAGTGACCAGGTACAAAGAAATTCGGTGTGGGTACCTAATGCTTGCCTACTGAACAAATTGCAAGGAGTCGATTGGCCAGACCACTCGAGAACCAATTGACCTCCACAACCCGGGCTTCGATCTGTGGGTGTCTTCCTTGCTAGTCATCACCAGTCATTGCGAAATAGGTCGACTGCAAGACCAATAAACCTTAAATTGAAGGAAACAAGAACAAGACAAGACTAGAAAGCAGAGCTGCTGAGGAGGATGGAATCTTCCGTGCCACGCAAGGAATCCTTTTCACCATTTTGCAATATTGTTGTCCTGTGGATCAGAATCAGAACCTATAGTCCTTGGAGCAATGATGGCTCACCAGCTATTTGGGTGCTGACAAGTGTTGTTTCCCATGCGCCCCAGACCCTGCAGCTTGTGGGCTCCTTGAAGCCCTTGCAGACCTTTCCGAGGTTCTTTGCCACCAGATCTTTCGGCAAGGCGGATGGTTTGGAACACCTTGAAGACTCTGTTCGTAGTGAGGCCCTTTGGTATCACTTTGCTGTTTGTATCCCAAGAGCTGAAGCAAGCCCGCAAAGCCCCGAAACGGATGCTGAATCTCGTCATCTGCTGTTTTGCCCTTCGTCAAGGCGTGTCTCCACTTGACGCATACGCTGTCAGTGCTTGGCACGGTGGTGATTGAGAACTGTGACAATCTCGAGGAGAAGTGGCTCAAGCCTACAGGCCACAAGAACATGCAAACATAGTCAGGACTCCTGAGACAGGCCCTTGTGGGTGAGTGCATGCCAAAAGGACCAGGCCAGCGTATTGGAGGTGTTTGAGTTTTGAGGCAACGTGTAATGAATGAAAGACAACATGTACATGACTGTACGTCTTAGGCAATAAATATAAGGTTTACCAGAAGCCGCGGCAAATATGAGGAGAGTGGAGGTGGCGGAGCAGCACGTGGGTTGCGCATTGCTCCAACTGCGAACCTCACCATCCGGAATTGCTCAGCCAAAAGCACCGGTGGAGGCTCCACTTGAGAGAGAGGGGCCGCTATAGATAGAGGTGGTTTTCAACATGTCCAGTGTCAATCGCCCAGGGGCTTCACTGTCATGTGCAGGGGATCCTTGCATAATGTTGTGTCCAGTGCCAACTGCTACCTAAAGACACATCACACCCGAGCTAAAGGCATCGATTTCATTCGTGCGGTCAGGCTCCAAGCGGACCCACTAAATGCGACGGGAACACACACTCTATTGCATGATGCTCTAAAGGCTCAAAAAGCGCTCATGAAACATGGGAAAAACCCATGAGCTTTGAGCATCAGTCCCTTTCAGGGAAGGTTGCACCAAAATGGTGTTCTTGCCACAGCTCTAGATTTTCGCTTCAAAACCAGCAGCGTCTGGGCTTCTTGGTGAAGCTTCTCCTTCCTCAGGCGCTGTGCCTTTCAGGCACTCACAAATTCGTGGTTAAAGCGCACCACCCAAGTCTTGTTGGCCTTTGTGAGGCTGTCAGCTAAGTTGAGGTCGGATGGCACCCAGGTGGGGTGACAATTGCTGTCATCATGTGTGCCTTTCTGGACATGAAGCATTTCCACTCCTGTTCGGGCAAGTTGCATGCCGAGCACCGCGGAATCATTCATGGTCAGAGAGTCAAAGCATCCCCGCTTTCCATGATGAGTAGGCTCTCGGTCATGCTGGCTAAAAGGTCAGCATTGCGGCGGTTGAGTTTCTCTCTGTTCAGAAGAGCCCAAAACAGACGAAGACGCCATCCACGATCTTCACCTTCATAAATTGGCTCCGTTAGAGCCTTTGGACGGACCGTCCAATTTCCAGCCTTTCCACTCGATGAGCTCGAACCTGCAAGGACGATTGGGTCAGAGAGACACGAAATGTGTCCTCCAGTTGAACCACCTCCAGGTCAGTTGTTGAGACCTGCAGCAGCGAAGTGAACTGCAATCAGCTGATTCCACTGAAGCTTGACCTTCCGGTGAGCATTGACTTCTTTTGCTGACTTTCAGAGTTCTCGAACTATGGAATTGGCTTCTTTCAGCTCTTGAAGTGCACGTAGGATATTTCAGGGCCGAAGTCAACAGGCTGCAGAAGGTGTCTTGTGTCATGTAGATGGTGTTGTCCTTTGCTTGCTTCAATTCAATTCCGGCAAAGGTGAAAGCGCCGGCTTGTCAAGGGGACGAATTGTAGAGGCCCTTGAAGAGTTGGCGGTATTGTTGCCAATCTTTGTTGTCCCCCTTTCCAGTGATGATGAAGTCATCCACGCGTGATGCTATTCTTCCACGCGCTTGGTTGGCAGGGTTCAGGGTTCTTGAACGTCCATACGCACTTGCCCAATGAATGTGGAGCGCGCCAAAGTAAAGTGGATCTAGAGGTCAAGGTGATGGAGAATGACTTGCTGATGCCAATGGAGAAAGATGACCCAATGGAAGAAGAGAATTGAAGCCCTTCTACATCGACTTCGTCGACTTCACAAAGCCTCAGGTCATCCCACGAACCAAGCTTTAGCCCGTCTTTGCAAAGACCGTGGCGCGCCGGCGCCCAGCGGGCATTTCCACTGTTCGAGGACAGTTGGTCATTCCCTATAGCATTGGAGCAAAACCCTCACCCTGGCAATGTCACAGCAGATGTCATGGACTTAGTGTTCCCTGCTCTTAGGTGCAAAGCTCGTTTTCTTGTTGGCAGAACACTTTGTTGACATGTGGCCTGCTGACCAAGCCTGGTTGGATTTTGGTTGGCCCTCAAAGAGCCTTGCTTCAGGAAAGTCTATGGAGTTCATGCAGCTCGCAGGGGTTGGTGTCAGTGTGTCGCCGCCCGCTCACTGGCAACAAGGAACGAGTGAGTCCTTGATTCGAGTCATCAAACAAACGATGAGAAGACTGTGAGAGGAACGTCCAGACATTGACCCACAGCTGCGCGCAACCACAACTATGCAGTTGGAGTCTGCAATGGGCCTATGGCTATGATCCCGAGAAGATGACGAATGAAGTTGAACCCCACGAGTTCAATGCACATCTACCTCAAAGCTCAGAAGTTGAGGCGCGAAGCCGATGAACTTTGGAAGCTTGAAGCAGCCAAGGAAGCCTGGACACGACTGAAGAATGCAGCGCCTCGACAAAACAGAGAACACCACATCGGAGAATCTGTCTGTGTGTAGAGGACAGCTATTTGGAGAAGTCGAAAGGCCTCCACCAACCCTGAACCTCGTTTTGTCGTTGCTTTGATTGAGCCCGCTGTCATTGCAGAAAACAGACCAATGGTCATTTCGGTGCTCATGAGAACTCAAGTGTGGAGATGTGCTCCAGAACAACTTCGTCGAGCAAGCAACCAAGAGGTCACAATTGCAGAGCTGTTCAACGTCAACCTCAAGAAGATGCAGCCAAAGGTGTGGACAAATGGAGAGAGAGAGAGAGAGAGAGAGGGGGCGAGGGAAAGTCCAAGACTATAGAGATCCAGGACAACTCGTGAAGGAGCAAGCGCGGAGGTGGAAAGAATTGGTTAGCGCAAATGAGGATCGTTGTCGAGAAGGACTTCCGCCAGTGATGGAGCTCCCACCATATCCTTCGTCAGATGAGGACAGGAGTCAAGTGGAGCATTTTGCTTTAGATGGTGCCCATGACCTATGAAGACCTGATGTGACCTGGTCGAGCTCGGTCTTGAAATTGGCTTTGCCTTTGGCCATGGCGGCCGTGGTCTTGATCTCCTCTTTGGCCTGCTTCGTGTCCTGTGAGTTCTCTTCTTGAACCACTTCCCTCACGGCCTTCCGAATCTCCTCCTGACTCCTTGAGCGACGGGTCGGCCATTGGTCACAGTCAATGAGGGCGTCGGATTCGGGCTAAGTTAACACTTGTCAGCTGTGTTCATCAAACGCTGCAGCAAAGTCTCAGTCTCTCCCAAGTGAGAAGCTCCCAAAACAAAATCGTAAAAACAATCGCGTGACCGTGGTTTCCATGTTGTCATTCTCAAAGAAATCCAAAGTGAAAATGTCTAAGACAGGACACTCTTCGACTTCCGAAAAGCGCACCCTCTGAGAAGGTTTCGACGAGGTGGAAAAAGAGAGGACGTATAGGGCACACCGCATTGGGCTTCATGTGTGGTGGGCCAGCCATGCCACTGTCTGTGGGAGGAAAGATGTGTTCCTTACAGTCGATGATGAGGTGCTCTTTGTGGTTCTTTTGCAACTGCGTGGGCTTACCTCGAATGACGCATGCTCCCGTAGTAGTACAGTTGATGACGTGCCAGTCAAAACAGGAACTCCAACAGCAGGTAGTGCATAGATGGACATAGGAAACATGTTGTCCTTGAGGGTTGCCTTATAGAGCGCTCGTCCCCAGCGACCGCTGCCGAACCGAAGCCAAGGTCTCGCTGTTTCGATCACAGTCACTTCCAGGTTTGGTCGGACTGCTATGAGGGACTTGCAAAGGTCTTGCGCAGCTTGCTTTCCACCGGCACTTGCTGTCACGCCAGTGTCAACCAAAGATTGATAGGGCGGAAGCTTGGCTTCGCGAGGCGCTCTCACTTCAGTCGCGGCCCGCGGCCATCAGCAAAGTAAGCGTGCCCTGTCATCGAGAGGTCTCCAGCGACTTCCATCATGCCCACGTGGAAGTTGGAACCATATATGGCCTTTTCCTTTTGCTTGCCCTTGCCCTTGAGGCTGCCACAGCCTCCACATGAAGATCGACCTTCGCCACCTTGAGCCCAGTGACCATCATGAGGCGCAGATCGAAATGAGCCATGGGACTTGCCAGGCCGGCCATGATCTTTGTGAGCTGCTGCAACTGTGCCTTGCGGGCTTCCACCAGGTTGCGGATGACATCCAGGGCTGCGAGCGTCTCCATCAATCTCTCCGATTTTACCACGCTTCGCATCATCATGGGAGGTAGATGAAAGTGCGGGTGGACTTGCTCGTCCCAGCACCTTTGGAACTCCTTGAGGTCGTCAAGAATGGCCTTCTAGGTTGTGAGGCGCGCAGTGTTTTGGTGTGCTCTTCATCAGTTTCAGTTGGGAAAGCTTCGTCAGGTTCAAGATGCTCTAGGTCGTGGTCAGTTCCTTCAGGATATCGGTGGTAGAGGGACTGGGCTTGGAAGCCGCAAAACTTGCGAAGCCCCTTGAGGTCGACGCCGTAGTCTTCAAACGACAGTTCTTTCTCTCTCCAGAGGCGTTGGAGCGCGTGGACCATGTCATCATGGAGTTTATCCTCTCGGCTCCCTCATGAGGTTTTCGAGAGAGCCTTCGGTAGAAGCCACCTATCTTGGAACCTGCATCTGGAAGAGACTGTTTGTTCAAAGGACTTTCTTCCAAGTACTTGATGAGCTTGGTCACATCAGCTTCTGATCAAAAAAATCTTCGGGGCGAGGTTTGTACATGAGTTGGACAAGTGCTGCATGGTTCGATTGAAGAGATTCTTGCGGCAAGAAGGGGTCTTTCGCTAGGCTTGGAACTCTGTAGGGCCCATTTGCCATCCCATGCTGGGACAAAGGAGGATGTCTCCTGTCCCTTTTCCATAGGTCCTCCACCAAGTGCCAAGTGCTCTACCTAAAGACACATCCCACGCCAGCTAAAGGCATCGAATTCACACGTGCGGTCAGGGTCAAAGCGGATCCACTAAATGCGACGGGAGCACACACTCTATTGCATGATGCTTTAAAGGCTCAAAGAGGCTCAAAAAGCGCTCGTTGAAACGCATATTGCATGTCCAAAGTTGTTCTGCGTTCTGACCCTGGACAGAGCAAATCTAAAGGCAACACCAATTTTGGAAACGATGTCTGGAAAAGCTTGTTCGGGAACTTGGGAATTAGATTCCTTCGGAGGCAAAGCCCGACTTTTCAGAAACTATGTAACAATGCTTCAGAAACTGCGTCTCGGAGCTTCAGAAACTGCATCTTGGAAATTGTGCTTACTTCCCAAACTAGAGATCAATGTTTCGGAGACTGTGCTGCATTCATTGCAGCCAGATTCCGGAGGGAAGTGGAAGGTGCAGTTTTCTTTCATTTACTGATGCATCAAGAACACCAGCATGAATGGTCAACCCTCTCCTGACTTCAAAGTATAGTTTCTGAAACCGTTTTTGTTTTGGAACCGGTGCCAGGTTTTGATTGCGGTGACAAAGGCTTACGCTTGGATGGAATTCTGGAGTTTCACCAGTGCACTGCGCAGCTTCAGGGCGGTGGCCTCATGCTAAGGTGAGAGTGTGTCCGCAGGGGCCTACAGATGATTTAGATCCTGAAAGAATTTGTTGGGGATGTAAAGACTTGCAAACGTGGAGATACACTGCAGAATTGAACAGTAACGTGTGCATTGTTCGTGGAACTGGACATCTACGTATGGTGTTCATTCATGATGGAGGAGTTCTTGCGCTGAAACTTTTGATTTGACAGGTCTGGCGCCATAACCCTGACCCACCATGGCAAGCTCGAGTTCCACAGCTGTTCCGTGGGGCGCAAGGTTTTGACGGAAACACAATGGTGGAAAAACACTTGGGAGCCTTGGCAAGGTTAGAAGGCACCACTTGGAGGTGTGGATCTGAGCTTGCCTTGTATTGGGTGAGTTCTCCGATATGAGCCTGGATATCGGTGAGGCATGGGAAGATTATATGGGTTTGCGAACCCTGGCACTTCAACTTCCTTCTGCACAAAGATCTCCTCAGCTCCAGGTTTTGAGGTGTCTTAGGTGCCTCTTGTTGTGCGTTCCCAGGAGGTTGAACATTGCCCTGCCGAAGGGTGATAGGTATGGGGAACTCTGTCTTTGTGCTTCCTTCCTGGTCGGGAAATTGTGGTTTTGGACCAGGATTCTCAATGTGGATCTAAGGAACTTACAGGGACTGGGGGTGCTATGGCCATCGAAGACGGGCACGCCTCCTTTGAGGGGAAAGTGCTAGTGGAAGGCTGTGAGGCAAAGACAGGAGAGGGTCATGGCCACGTAGCTTTAAAGTTGGCCGCTTGCGTATTCAACATCAAAGGGTGGTCAAGATTGGTCATGCATCTTTTTCAACAGGAAATCCTTTTCAATAGGGAACTGTCAATTTATAAAAACAAGACTACAATAGTAACAGCTTGGCAACAATCATGATAGAGCATTGGTTTCTGGAAGCCGAGGGAAAGCTGGAGACCTCACTCGCCGACTGTGGCAGGAGGTGGTCTCTTCTTGAATCGTGGCCACTTGGTCCAGAGCAGGGGTGATTGGAGAATGAAGAATTGCAAAGCTCATGATTCTGGCGGGTGCCTAATGCTCCAGCAGAGCAGTCTGACGCAGACAGCCGGAAAAATATCCTTGACCTGGTGCAAGGCCAGATCTGGGGGTGGCCTTGCAGCTCTCTCTGGACAGCTTGACCAGAAGGGCGAAGGACGCTTATTCCTCAACCATTGCTATGCCTCAGGAGGTAGAGGAGGTGGGGTGGCCTGGCACGGGGAGTTCACGATCCGAGGCCACGTGATCGTGAAGAAGTGCGCAGCCCAGAAGGGGGGGGGGCCTTTATATGGCAGGTCACTTGAAGCAGTTTGAGGGGCTCTTCAAGTTTGAGGAGTGTGTCTCAGAGCGAGTTGGTGGTGGGCTGATCCTGAATGGCACCTTGACTCAGCTTGGTGGCACCTTCACCTTCAAGAAATGCAAGTCCGTACGCAAGAAGGAATTGCCCTCGGGCGGAGGAGGTGTATGGATAGAATCTGGAGAAATGAGTCAGCAAGGTGGAACCATGACTTTTTCCCTCTGTTCCACCCCGGGGCATGGAGGTGGGCTTGGAGTGCAAGCTGGAAGCATCAAACAAGAGGGTGGCCTTTTGCAGCTTCACACTTGCCAGGCGAGCAAACTGGGGGGTGGCATTTACGCAAAGGGTAACATTATCCAGACCAATGGCACGCTGAAGGTGACGAGCTGTGTGTCGAGTTGGGGTGGAGGTGGGGTTTGGGTGGCAGGCGAACTCACGCAACATGGTGGGAGCATCCTTTTGATGAAGTGCAATTCCTCTGGCTATGGGGGCGGCTTGGCAGTGAGAAGTGGACGCATCCAACAACTTGGCGGTCTTCTAGAGGTGAGTGCTTGCAACTCGAGAGACGCCAGTGGGGGGGGGAATCTACTTGGAGGGCAACTTGACCCAGATCGATGGCACTTTGAAGACCAACGCTTGCCATGCTTCGGGTGGAGGTGGTGTATGGGTACAATCTGGTGATGTGAATCAACATGGTGGAGCCATGTTCTTTGCCGAATGCAAAGCAGCAGGCTACGGGGGTGGTCTTGGGGTTTTGGGAAGTCTTCGAAGGACCGGTGGCATGATGGACTTGGAGGACTGTGCCGCCAAGCGATCTGGCGGCGGGATCTATGTCAACGGCAACGTCTCGCAGTCCAGCGGCACTTTGCAGCTTCGAAAATGTTTGGTCAGTGGGGAGGTCTCGGGCAACTGGACCATGTCGGGCGGAGGTGGCGTTTGGGTCGAGTCTGGTGCCGTGACTCAACATGGTGGAAGCATCTCCTTCACGGATTGTGATGCGGTAGATCATGGAGGTGGCCTCGCGGTGATTGGCGACATAGAGCAGCACGGGGGTTTTCTAGAGTTTTATGGTTGTTTGGCCAGTCGCGGTGGCGGAGGCATCTATGTCAATGGCAACCTAGCGCAGATGGAGGGGACATTGGAGCTTCACCGATGCCAATCGCGTCAATTCCTGACCAAAGAAGGTGGAGATACCCGCTGGGGCGGAGGGGGTGTATGGATCCAATCTGGTGAAATAAATCAGAATGGTGGAAGCATGCTATTCAACAATTGCACTGCTGCTGGTCACGGAGGTGGGCTGGGAGTGGCTGGAGGAAGCATCAACCAGAAGGGTGGGGTCTTGCAGCTGGATCTCTGCGAAACTTTCTCAGCTGGTGGGGGTATCTATGTCTCCGGCAACTTGTCCCAGTCCAATGGCACATTGAAGCTGAGCTCCTGCAAGTCTGTCCAGCATGGTGCCGATGAGGAGACCTGGGGCGGAGGTGGCCTCTTCCTTCATGACGGGACAATCACTCAGAAGGGTGGAAGCATGTCGTTCTTTGCCTGCACCACGGTGGGTTATGGGGGTGGTCTTGCAATGATTGGAGGCCTTGAACAGAATGGTGGGCTGCTGGACTTTGAGGATTGTGAGGCAAAGGACTCGGGTGGAGGCATTTTCATCCATGGAAATTTGTCTCAGAGGGAAGGTACTTTGAAGCTGAACAGGTGCAAATCCGTTGAAGGGCTTGGCAGTGATGAAGTCACTTCAGGCGGAGGAGGAGTGTGGGTTCAATCTGGAGAAGTGAATCAGCAAGGTGGAGCCATGTCCTTTGCTCATTGCAAAACTTCGGGCAATGGTGGCGGGCTTGGGGCCATTGGAGGCATCAGACAAGAGGGCGGGCTGTTTGACTTCGAGGATTGCCGGGCAAACCACAGCGGTGGTGGAATATACCTGGAGGGCAATCTGTCGCAGATGGGCGGCAGTTTCACGCTCAACAGATGCCTGTCCGTGCAGAACCGCTTTGGCGAGCATGGTTGGGGCGGAGGCGGTGTGTGGGTCCACCACGGTGAAGTGACTCAGCATGCTGGAACCATGCATCTCATCAACTGCACGGCATCTGGAAGTGGTGGTGGGCTTGGAGTAGCCGGCCAAGTCATCCAGCACGGTGGCCAGTTGAAACTTGATCGTTGCATTGCCGGGGAAGCTGGTGGTGGCCTCTACATCTCAGGTTGGCTGAACCGAGTCCATTTTTCGCCAATGCCCCCAACAGGTGCAGGGTGGCCAACCATCATGACCACATCACCTGAGCAATTGGTACACAGCTAGCTTAGATTGTAGGCACGAATCATACCCTCAGGTTCACAAGTTCTACTCGGCCGACTCACGCAGCTCGATGGCTCTTTGGAGCTGAAAGGCTGTCGGGCTTCCGAAGGCGGAGGCCTGTGGATTCTCGGCAGTGTGGAGCAGCGCAGTGGGCACATGGCCTTGCGAAACTGCACTTCTGGTTTTGGGGAATATATGGAGGTGCTGGAGAGTGCAGATTGGCCGCAGCAGGTGGAGGAACTGAGCGACCAGAATGAGCAGGGCTTTGGTGGCGGAGTTTACATCTCCAAAGGGCAGGTGCGGGGATTGAAACCGAGGGCGGCGGGCCGCCTCAGTCAAGGAGAAGATTTCAACTTTGCAGTGCATTTCACTGGTTTTGATGGATTTTGGGATGGTTTGCTATGTAAGGGGTTTTGGTGCTGACTTGTGTGCGAATATTATGTTCACCTACCTCAGGTGTATGTGAGTGGGACGCTCGAGCTCACCGAGTGCACTTCGGTCTCGGGTGGTGGTGTCTACATGAAGGACGCCAGCCTCGTGGTGAATGGCACACTGCAGTTTGAGGGTTGCAGAGCTGAGACGGACGGCGGTGGTCTTCTTGTTCTTGAGGGGCAAATTGTCCAAACTGGTGGCACGATAGTGTTCCTGGATCGCAACATCAGATGTTTGGAGATGGTGAGGTCCCTTAGGATGGTTCATTACACCTAAGAACTCTATCCAGCTAGCCGGAGGTCACTGGATGAAGCCCTGAACCGTAGCTTCTCCCCAAAGTTGTATTCTGGCTTCTAGCAGGAAGATCTGTACGTGAACAGTCTGACATCACACTGGTTGTTTTGGCAGGTTTGACACCTGCAAAGCGGACACAGGAGGGGCCGCCTCCGTGAAAGGGGCAAGCTGGACGCATGAGATTGGATTTCTGCAGGTGTCCAACAGCCGAGCTACTGCAGGTGGAGGCCTTGCCATCGGCAACAATTCAACTATGCATCAGCTGGGCGGCATGATGCATTTCAATCACTGTACGGCTGAAAAGGATGGGGGTGGCATGTTCCTTGAAAGGTCTGCGTTGATTCAAAGGGAAGGCACTTTGTGGTTTCAGAACTGCGAAGCCTGGAGACCCTTGCCGTTGCACTCAGCCAACCAGCAAACCTTTCAGGACGTTGAATTGATGTTCAAGTCGTAGATTTCTCCTTGAACAGTGCTTGGCATGCCCCTGAACAATGGTCCTGAACCTACAGTGTTTTTCGAACAACCTTATGAGGGTCTTTTTCTTTGAACCTAGGCACCTCGTCAACTAGCCGAGGCCTTGGGGGGGGGGGCTCTCCATCGTTGAGGGCCATACCTTCAATTCCAACGCAACCATTGACTTCCAAAGCTGCTCTGCTCGAGAGAAGTCAGCGATGTACGCGGACACGAGCGCGACACTGGCCACTGTGCGATTTCGAGATTTCCATCAGGGAATTGCGTCATCTTCTGTGGCCTATGTGGTAGGTGCGCACGGGTCGGTTCAACAGTGTGTTTTTTTGTTTGTTGTTCGGCGCACTCAGTTAATCAGGTTAGTCTGAGATGCCCTGAGGTGATTTCGACCTAGGCCAGCTGCAACTTGTCAATGCCAGGTTTGTCGCGCAGGCTACCAAGAGCATGACCGTGAAAGAATCCGTCGATTGTTCTGACACTTTGGGCCTTTGCCGCTTTTCGGCCACCGAAGGGAACATTTTTGATCGCTTACTCTGTCCGCGGGGGTCGGGCCTCGTCCAAGACTTGAGCGGCACTTCTTTCGTTGCTTGCGTTCCCTGCCCGCCGGGGCACATGCAGCTGGTGGAGCGAGCCAGGGATCAATGCACTCAGTGTCAGGCGGCGATTGGCATTTGCGAGCCGGATTGGATTCAACTGAAAACAGGCTTCATGAGCCCAGTGCAGCGCATCACGACCAACCACTTCCCGATCCATCACTGCCCGAATCCTCAAGCCTGTCGCGGTGGCCAACTGCCAACGAGTCAGGCGGCCAGAATGTGCAAAGATGGACATGTCGGCGACGGCTGCGTGCGATGCAGTGATACCCATGCGCCCTCCGATGCAGATATTTTGTCCTGCACCACGTGTACAACGAATCGGCTCAAACAGACTGCACAGTTCCCTGACTGGCGCATTGAAGGTGATAAAGTTGCGATGCTAGTGTTTACTTTGGTCAAGAAGGTCGTAGGAAGGACATTTCTATGACTGCCCCGAGTTCTATGATAACATCAGAACCCACTCTTTTCCTGCAGGTTAGAACACATGTTTTCCACCTGTGTGCCATTTATTGTTTTTTAGCGGGCAAACATCCCATCATTGGACGTTTTATATTCTTCAGTTGTTTCATAAGGGCTGTTCTTTTCTTCTTTTTACCAGTATATAGCAGAAACAGGTTTATCAACTGTATCAGACATGTAGTTTGACAGTAGATCTTGCTACTAACTTGTAAACTAGGCATGATCGGCCAGTGTCCTTCTTGAAGATTACCTAGAAGCTAGTATGCCAAAAGCAAGCTCACACGTGAACTACAGCAATGTGCATCTGGATACGATACTTGGCTCCCCTGTTTACTGGCACGGAAAAGGGAAACAGCAAAATCTGCCAAGGTTGTTTACTGCGAAATCTGGGTCTGTCCTATTACCTGTAACAGTTGGTAAACAATTATGACTCATGACTATTTTAGAGAAAGGCCTGCAACTGAACCATCAAATCCACTGGGCCCTGGTAATGGGATATACCCAAAACTAATCCATCGTGAGGTTTGGCTATGTGGTCCTCAGAGACTCCATCATCTTCTTGATCGCGTACCGCGGCGGCCTGCAAGCGCTTGACGAGAAGGGCAACCAAAAGGATCTTGGCGGAACTCAAGGGGTTTGACGAAAAAGGCGCAGGCTACAATGACAACTATAGTGGTATATTTAACGTTCCAGAAAAAGTGGTGTCGTGTACTCCGTGGCATTTTGCTTTGTCTATGACAACTTGAGACACATTCATATAGACATTTGGCGCGATTGGGCCATTTATCCCCTCGAACTTTGTTCAGGACGCGAAAACCAGCAGCGTTCTTCTGAATCAGCTCTTGGCCTTTGGCACAGTCGCGAACATTGCAACAGTTGCGGCGTTGAATACAGGCGTCGCACAAGCAGTGAAAGAGCGTGTGGGAGATACTGTATCAGATTTGATGCATCTTGGTTTAGAACTGGATCGTCCCTTCACATGCAAAGGCCCCGTGTTTCGTCATGCTTTCCCATACCTGTGAGCACAGTGAAAGATTGATTGAACACCGATGAGGCCACTGGGGGACTGTCTTACTCTACGGTCTCAGGTGCTTAAGTCTTGAAGATCATTTTTTGGATGCCGTCTTGAAGAAGATGATGTTTTAGAATGTCTTAGATTCTTTTAACACATATAAGGTTCCTGCACTGGTCTGAACAGGTGTACCCCGAAATTGATGAGATGCTGGTGAACGGCAGGTCCAGTTCTGGGTTTCCGCTGAGGCAAAGCCTGCTCTTGGAGTCGCAGTGGAGTCCGGGAGAATCCTCGGGTCGGATCTCCACGCATTGCTTGCTGACATACCTTGGCTTGCCCCCGGACATGTGGTTAGCACATGCCACTCGGCGTAAAGACTTGGGAATAAAATGAAGCGCAGCACATGGGACAAGTAGCCGGTGGTGGTAGGCGAAGTGGACTGGTCTCAAAGTTGGTCGGGTCTAAGTTCTCATTTTCCGCAAGCTGCAGGGTGGCAGTGGGACAGACCGGATCATTGGAGAAACACAACCAGCCTTGGTTTGTGGGACCAGGAAGATAAGTTCAGAGATCCAATTCCTCCGTATTATCACGGCAACATTGTACAAATTCGAGTATACAAGAGGATAGGTATTTTTTATTCTTCTTTTGTTCGAAGTTTTTCTATTTTTTTCTGTGCTTGTCTTGCTTTTCCTTGCTTCTCACTGCTTCTCTGCTTTTCTGTGCTTGTGTTGCTTTTCCTTGCTTCTCACTGCTTCTCTGCTTTTCCTTCTTTTCTGTGCTTGTGTTTCTTTTCCTTGCTTCTTTGTGAATCCTCTTTCTTTCCCTGCCGTTTCTCCTGGTTGGCATTTTTCCTTTCTCGTCTTTTTGTGGCGTAGTGAGTTTCTTTGATCTTTGATTAGTTGTTGCTGTCGCTTTTGATTAGTTGTTTTTCAGTCCCTGAGTCAGGGAGGCGTAATGAATTTTTGCTTGCTTTTCTGTATGCTGTATGCTTTTCCTACTCTTGGTGTTCTGCACCACTGGTGACGCACCTGTCTCATGTACTCATGTTTGTTCGCCGTGCACTGTGCGGCCAAAGCTTTTTTTTGCTCTACCCTGGACGTGGAGCCCGTCACAATTACAACTGCAGAAGAAAAGAGACCGCTAATAAAGACAACACATGTTCAACAGTTTCATATAGTTAAGTTATACCATTTTATTACGAGTTGCAGTAATGGGAAAGCATATAGACGCAAGACAAGCACAATCCCACAAAAGTGGATGCTAAGGGCCGCCCGGCTTTTGCCCTCGCATATATGATGCAGATGCTAAGATCAGGACGCCGAGGTTCACTTAGTGCTGCGATAGCCGTGCCGTGCCCTGTACAACTTTTGTTCCAGCTTACAAAACCATTCCCCCGCCATATTGCTTTTCGTTGAAATTCGTAGAGTGCTGCGCCTGCCACCAGCGGAGAAAGATAATTAAACAACAACTTAGCATAGATACCTGCTTGGAATCTTACACATCAGACCATCGCAACCCCATAACGGCGGATGCTAAGGGCCACCAGGCAAGGGACACCAGGCTTTGGCCATCTCACAAAAGACTTGAATGCTTAGATCAGCAAGGTTTACAAAGCGCTGCCAAGCTAAAAATTAAAGAAGAAAATTGACCATTCCAACATAGTACATTTTCTGTGAGCCACCCGAGGTTTGATGCTAAGGGCTACCAGGCTTTGCATAAGAAATATATAGATGCTAAGATCAGCGCTCCATGCTTCCCAAAGTGCACTCCGAGCGCTGCTCACCAGGAAACCTGCATTTCCAGCTAAGCCAGCACCAAAAAATAAGAAACAACAACAAAACGATAAACAGTCAAAAATTAACTCTGGGACCGTATACAAGTCAAGAAATCATCCCAAAGATCACGATGGAACAGAACTCCTTTGAACCCAAAGACGCGCCCTTTGACAGGGAAGACACATCCGTCTCGTTGCACCTAACCTGCGCGCGAAGACGCGCGGGTTCTTTCATTCAACTGAGGTCTTCGCTTCTGTGGTGCCCTTCACGTTGATCTTGGTGGCGGGTCTTGTGCACGACCCCAAGCTGGCAGTCATTGTGGGCAGCAACTGTTGCTTGGAAAGACGAAGGCATCATTTGAAGTAGCGGGTGAGAGGGTCTTGGTGTGTCCTAGCAAGTTCTTCGATTTTCTGGATCTTGACATGTCATTCGGCCAGGGTTTTGGTGTTTATAACTTCAACCCAACGCTGCTTGCCTTCCATTCTCTGCTTCAAGCAGCGCGTGCAACAAATCCAATGCCAACCACCCTAAAACCTTCTAGTTGAAAGTAACATATCCAACGCCTATGACCACCGCATCACTCTCAGTTTGGGCCACATAACCAACAACCGCTGCTTTTGCCATTTGTTTATTTCAAGCAGTCTTACATCACCGCTGACATATCAATCCCATGCAGTCTGTATGCAATTCCCAGGAAACAGAGCAGTTTGAAACCAGAGTTATAAAGTAAGATGTTCCAAAACCCACAAGTTCAAAGAAACCCATGCTTGATTCAAACCTGATCCCTTTTTGCCACTAGTCCGTCATGTGGGAGGGTCTGACGGAGCTGCGTCATTTTTTGGTTCATCTTGATCGAACTTGCTTTCTTCGTGCATTGACCAAGGCTTTTTGCCAGCCTTTTGCGCCAACTTTGCCAAGTATGTCGCTTGATTTGACGCAGGAATGAGATTGTGTTCCGCGTGCCATCGAGCACTGCAATTTCTTGATGATTTGCGCACATGGCTCCACGCCATGGGGAATGTTCCAATCTTGCTGGCATTGGAGAGAATGTGTGGACGGGTTTGAGAGTGGCGAACGTGGGCAAGAAATTTGCCTAACCAAAACAACTCACCCTTCGCAAGGTCCTGAGCAGTGGGTAGACCAC